CTCCAAAGTCCAAATCTAGAGCTCTTTCTACTGTACCACATTTATCTCTCCTGCTCTTTTCCTTAGAGGCTAAGAAACAGGAAGCTGTCCAGCCTAGAGATGAGGGGAACAGTTGGTCATGAATGGAAGGACCTCAGCACTATGAATACAAGATGGGAAGAGGCATCCCTTCCCCTCTCAGCCCCATAGGAGGCAGTTGTCCCTGGACTCTCCTTAAGCAGATCTTAATCCAATATAGTCCAGTCCATTCCCTTCTCTTGCCAGTGGGAATTCTGCCCTTGGATGAGATAGATGTTGTGGCTGCTCTCTGGGCAGAGATTTCCTGGCTTAAGTCTGTGGAAAGTCTGTTCCGTTGGCCTGGCACCAAGCCCATGGTCTGCCAATCTCCCTGACTAGAGTAGATGATTGGGTTCTTGGCTGGCCAGGAGCCCTTCCCCTGGGGGTCTATAGAGTGAGCTCCTGCCAAGTGCTGCTGCCACATCTCCTAGCGATGGATTATGGGCTGCCTGTGACCACAGTCCTCCCTCTTGCTTCCATCCTGCAGGAATCCCTGAGGAACAGACAGGAAGAAAAGAAAGCAAAGGACTGAAGAGTAATTCAGGGAACAGGTGGAGGAGTGGGGAGATGGAAACAGAGACAGAGACAAAGAGAGAGCAGAAAGACAGAGACAGAGAGAGAACCAAATACCACACTCTCCCATTACCTTGAAGCTCCATATGTCACTAGGCTAGGAGGGAAGGGACATTCAAGTCCAGGTGAATCACTATCCCCTGGAGGAGTAAGCCTCACATTCACATACTTTCTCTTTCCTCTGAAGCAAAGGTCAGCAGAAGAATCCCCATCACCCAGTTCTCATTGCAGTCTCTGCCTTACCTGCCTCCTTCACTGAGGATATGTATGGGTTCTAACCCCTCACTTCGTTACTGAATTGCAAGGAAATACCTCTCACTTATCTCAGGTTTTCTTATTAGCAGCATTGTACAGTAGGGAGTGCATTGGTACTGCAAATAATGAGGTAATATCAATACTAAACATATATGCACCAAGTGGTATAGCATCCAAATTCTGAAAGAAGTTAAGTGAGTTACAGATTCAGGACCAAACAAGAGATAGCATTATGAAATGTAAAATAGATAATTTTGATTATATTAAATCAAAAAGTGTTTGCAGAAACAAAACCAAAGTGACCAAGATTAGAAGGAAAGCAGAAAGCTAGGAAGAAGCAAGTGTCTCTGATAAAGGTCTCATATCTCAAATATATAGAGAACTGAGTCAAATTTATAAGAATACAAGCCATTCATTCCCCAATTGATAAATGGTCAAAAGATGTGAACAGGCAGATTTCAGATAAAAAAATCAGCGCTATTTATAAGCATTTGAAGAAGTGCTATAAAATCACTTTTGGTTAGAGAAATATAAATTAAAACAACTCTGAGGTACCACTTCACACCTATCAGATTCACTAATATGATAAAAAAGGAAAATGATAAATGTTGGAGAGAATGTGGGAAAATTGGGACACTAATGTACTGTTGGTGGAATTGTGAACTGATACAACCATTCTGGACAGCAATTTGGAACTACCCCCAAAGGGCAACCGAACTGTGCACATACCCTTTGATCCAGCAATACTACTACTAGGTCTGTATCCCAAAGAAATCATAAAAAGGGGGAAAGGACCTACATGTGTAAAACTATTTATAGCACCCCTTTTCATGGTGTCAAAATATTGGAAATTGAGGGGATGCCCATCAATTGGAGAATGGCTGAACAAGATGTAATACATGAATGTGATGGAATACTGTTGTGCAATAAGAAATTATGAGCAGGAATATTTTAGAAAAACCTGGAAAGACTTGTATAAACTGATGCAGAGTGAAATGAGCAGAACCAAGAGAACATTGTACACAGTATCAGCAACATTGTGTGATGATTAAGTATGAATGATTTGGCTGTTCTCAGCAACACAATGATCCAAGTACAAACCATGCTAGAAAATGCTATCCATATCCAGATAAAGAACTGATGGACTCTGAATGCAGATCAAAACATACTTTTTTCACTTACTTTATTCTTTTTTGTGTTTTTTTCTTTTGATCTGTTTCTTCTTTCACAACTGTGACTAATATAGAAATAGGTTTTACATGATAGCACATGTATAACCTATATCAAATTGCCTACCATTTTAGGAAGACAGAAGGGGAGGAAAGGAAAGAAAAAAAATTTGAAACTCAAAATCTTGTAAAAAATGAATACTAAAAATTGTCTTGACATATAATTGGGAAAAATACTATTTTTAAAAATGTATATCTTTTGTTTATTCAATAAGACTTTGTGGATTTGTTTTCTAATGTTTTTCACCTGAAGGAAAGTCCATTTTGCCCCATAACGACTCTTGCTGAATTTCTTAAGAAACTGTACTTCATCTGCATCAGTGAAGATATCCTGCTTTCCTTTTGCTGAAAATACTTATTATTTCAAATGTAGTTTGGGAGGTACTGCCAATTGATGGATGATAAATTATATTGATTTTTATTTTCCTAAATCAACAAAAAAGTTCTATTTTAAAACAATGACTTCCAAAATATTTTGAATTTATTTCCCTTATATTTACTGTTTTTTTAATTTAGTTTTTTTTTTTTTGGTAAGGCAATTGGGGCTAAGTGACTTCCCCAGAGTCACACAGCTAGTAAGTGTTATGTGTCTGATGTGAACTCAGGTTCTCCTGACTCCAGGGCTGGTGTTCTATCTGCTGTACCACCTAGCTGCCCCACTTACCACTATTAATTCTATTAAGTTTATATAATTTTCATTGGGCATTGTGATATATAGATGATAAATATTTTTGTTTTGTTTTTATTTGGCGAAAGCTTACTGCCATGCTGGTGCTGTTGTGTGAAATATCTTTAATGTTTGGAACCATGCATTATCTATGCAAAATATACCTGGTTTCTTACAAGCAGACTTCAAAAACTTGCCATGATATAGCTGAGCTAATAACAATCTCTCAGTGCCCCAGATGGCTCTTTAACAGTAAAAATCCAGAACAATTCCAAGTTGGCAGAGGGACTTTCCTCAACAGGAACCAGTGAAATCCCAGGTTTTGACTCTCCTCAAAAAAAAAAAAGTTGTTGACCCATGTAATAATCTATTCATTAAAGGCATGAAATGAAACAAATATTCAAAACAAAAACAAAAAGTGTGCTTTGTAAGCATCTTCATGAAGTCTATTGTAAAGTGAAAATTAAATAGAATGTCTTAGTAGTTTTTAATTCCATATTTGCTCATTATTTTAATAATAATTTCTAATTTGTAAAGGAATGTCATACCAGGGGTGTCACTTTTTAGATTTATCCACAAATGCTGTAAGCTGCCTATCCTGAAACAAAAGGTTTCTTGGAGGTATAAATACACTCCTCTGTGAATTATGGGAACTAAACCTTGTGAACTATGAAGAGTTGGTAACTTTGCCTTGTTTAACTTGGCACTGTTGTTTCGTATTAATAAAACATGCGTGCACATTTTAAACAAAAAAGGGAGGTGAGGGTCACCTCATTTCAAGCTGGGACAAGTGAAACGATAACAAACCAGGGAAAGCACACTCATGTAGGGTTTCAATGGGTCTGTGCTGCCACCATTTGAACACAACTGGAAACACACCCCAACCTCATGAAACCTGAGTGCTTGGTCTCATTTCTCTGGCCCTGTGCCCTGGGAGAGGGCAGGGTCTGATCAGCGGGCAGTAGGACTGGCATCAAAGAACTCTGGCAGGACCAATCAGTGAGCCCCCAAAATCTGGTAGCCCTTAGGGGACCCAGTGACTCGCCCAGGTCTCATTCCATCTCCATCTGTGCAGCCCTAGGCAAGTCTCCCATTTAGCCTAGATTTAGGGGATGCTGAGAGATTGGCCTCATCTAGACAGCCCTTCCTCACCACCTTCAATTTTACAAGATATTAGGGGCGAGATGAAATTACAGGACCCAACCGTAAACCAAACTTTATATAACCCTCTGCCTTTGTCTCCCTTCCTTAGAGATAAGTAGCTCGAGTCAAAAAGCTAACCTGTTCTCTAGTGATTCTCAGTGATGGTCCCACTATCCTCTATCCTATACAAATTGTATGTGGAGTATTGTGTTCAGTTCTGGGCACCACATTTTAGGAAGGCCATTAACAAACTGGAAGGAGTCTAGAGAAAGGGAATCAGAAAGATGACAGGCCTAAAAAAGATACCATGTGCCTAAGGGTGCATAGACCCTGAGCTGGATATGCCCAAGTGTGCCAGCACTCTCTGTTCCGTACTTTATGCCCAGTGCATACTAGAATCACTGAGAGGAACTGGAGGTGTTTATCCTAGAAAAGAGAAGACCTAAGGGAGTTTGGATCGATGTCCTCAGGTTTTTGAAGGGCTATCCTAAAAGAGAGATTAGTTGTATCCTGCCATGAATGGGGTGGCAGTTGGGAGAGTTGCAGAGAGGCCTGTTTTGACTAGATGTGATAACTTCCAGTTAGAGTTTTCTGATATTGGGATAGATTTGCCTGGGAAGGCAGTCACTAATCGTCTTCACACGGAGGCTGAATGACCCCCTGACGTGGAAGTTATAGAGGAGCCTCCCTCTCAGGGTTGGACCAGACAGGGTAATTTGTAAGGTTTCTACTCTTCCTGCGGTTCTGGGGCTCTGCAGTCTTGCCCAAGGTACAGCCCAGGACTCAACCCAATTTCTCCAACTGCTCCTAACTCCCCACCTCCCCAACGCATACCTCCAAAATTCCAACAACAACCCACCCACATCCCTGGAGGCTGCCAAGACAGGAGGCCACAGTGCTGCTAGTACAGGAACCAATCTTTTTATTGATGCACTGGCTAGGCATGGTCAGCCCCAGAAAGGAAGCCTGAAGCCCAGCAGGCGAGGGAGAGATGGGGTCCCAGGACCCAGAAGATGGGAGAGCAGAGAATAGGTCAGTGAGCAGCTTTCTCTCTTGGGTTTTTCCAGGTGCTGGTAGGAAAGAAAGGTAATAATCAGATCCATGGACAGCTGGTCCAGAAGCCTTGCACTCCAGCAGCTTGTCAGGGAGTGCTGGAGGATCAGTGTGACTTTCAGTATAACTTTAAAGAGTCCAGGAGCTTCCAGGATCAGGGTGACCTTTGTTCCAACTTAATTACTCATGTCAGACCTAAGGTAAGAGCAAATATCCTTCCAATTATCCAAAAGTGGCATGGGCTGCCTCAGGAGCTAATGGGTTTCCTACTCATTGAAAGTATTCAAGGGAAGTTACTCAATGAACACACCTTGGGGATGTTGTGGAGGAGACAGCTGTTCAGGACAAGATGGCCTCAGTGCCAGGCCTAGAGTCAGGAAGACTCAACTTCTTGAGTTCAAATCTGGCCTCAGACACTTACTAGTTGTGTGACCCTGAGCAAGTCACTTAACCTTGTTTACCTCAGTTTCCTCATCTATACAATGAGTCGCAGAATGAAATGCAAAAGCATTCCAGTATTTTTACCAAGAAAATCCCAGAAGGGGTCATGAAGAATCAGACACGACTAAAACAACTAAACAACAGTGACACCTTTGGTCAAATCCTTTCCCCTTTCTGGGCCTCAGTTTACTCCTGAGTAAAGTGGGGATAGTATGGTACAGAAGAGAGCACTGGATTTGGAGTCAGAAGACGTGGGTTCAAATGGTAGATCTGCTACTTATTATGCCCGTGTAGCCTTTAGAAAATCATATCTTCTCTGGGCTTCGGTTTCCTCTTCTGTAAGGTGAAGGTGTGGGGCTAGACTGAGGTTGCCTTCTAGCTCTAAATCTATGCTTACTTTGCACTAGTGACCTCACAAGTTTGCTGTGAAGAAAGCACTTTATGTACCGAAGAGCATCGCTGAAAATGAACCAGGATTATTTTTGGGTGGAGAGGCAGCAGAGTGAAGGGACTTGATTTTGAGTTCTCAGCTCTGCCCTTTCACAGGATCAATGAGATTCAGAGCTGGAAGCATTAGAGCCCAAGGCATTTTGTAGATACAGAATGAAGGGCCCAAGAGACTGGGTGACTTACAGATCTAGTGATCTCCTAGAGGCAGCCAGATGACTCATTGGATAAAGTCCTGGGCCTGGAGTCAGGAAGTTACCGTTGTTTAGTCATTTTTCAGTCCTGTCTGACTCTTCATGACCTCATTGGGGTTTTCTTGGCAAAGGTACTGGAGTGGTTTGCCATTTCCTTCTCCAGCTCATTTACAGACGAGGGAGCTGAGGCAAATAGGGTTGTGATTTGCCCAGGGTCACAAAGTTAGGAAGTGTCTGAGGTCAGATTTGAGCTGGATTTGACTCCAGACCCAGCCCTCTATCCATTGTACCACTTAATTGCAGGAAGTCAAGAAGACCCGAGTTCAAATTTGGCCTCAGATACTTACTGGCTGTGTCACGTAACCTCTATTTGCTTTAATCGACTGGAGAAGGAAGTGGCACATCACTCCAGTATCTTTGCCAAGAAAACTCTATATGGGGTTATGAAGCGTCAGACAAGACTGAACAAAAGTGACTTACTAATTTGTGGGTGCAAAAACAATTTTTGGGTAAAGTTAATAAAAAGAGTCTCCATTAATTTAGCACTTTAGGTTTTTACAAAGCATTTTCATTATCACCCTGGAAGGCAGTTAATGCAGGTATTGTTATCTTCATTTTACAGATGAAGAAACTGAGGCCCAGTTTGCTTAAGTGACTTGCTCAGAGTCCCAGGGCAAGACAGGGGCAATAATAGATTTTGGAATAAGTTCTTCCGGCTATAAGACCAATTCAGGGAAGCCCCATTTGAAGGTGAGACCATATATCAGATACTGAGGCTGTGAGTTCTGTTTAGCTTCATCTTTTTTTTTTCAGAGAAAGAAATGGAAACAAAAGCCCAGAGAAAGATAAAGATGTAGTTTGCTACAGCTCCCATCCTTGGGAAGCAGCAAAGCCAAGACCCTTCCCTGTTACTTCTTACCATCAACTACCCGCCTGCTCATACAGACCTCTCTGAATGAATTCTTTCCAGCATCATCTCCAAAGGACCAGAGATCACAGACCCTTGAGTTAGAGAGAATTTAAGGGTCATCTAAACCATTCCCCATTAGGAAACTGAGGCCCAGTAAAGTTAAGGAACTGCCTGACGGTCACATCATGAGGTAGTGATTCAAACCCAAGAGGTACAAACCCCAAAACCTGGGTTTGAATACAGGTGCTCTTACTTCATATCCCATTAGATATTTTCTACTATATACCATGCTATCTGGCTCTCTCAGCCCATAAATGTTCCCAGTGTCCCCTAGCCAAGGATTCCCCCTTGGCTCTTTCTATAGAAAAATATATAAGGATGGAAAACGGGACTTTTCCACAAAGGGTCCAATTCTTTGTTCCCATTTGAATTCTCCCAGCATTGCCTCCAGGCCTTCCTGCCACCCTGAGAGCTATAGAACCAAATGAGATATTTGTAAAAGCATTTTAGTGCAGTGCCTGACACATAGTAGAACCTGGAGAAAATGGCCATTCCCTCCCCTTCCCCCATAGGACTTTCTCTTTAAGGACCTAGCTCTATGCCCGGCCCCCTTCCCCTTATACCCCCACCCACCTCATTGCTCAGGTGTGAGGCAGGATTGGTTTCCACAGCCATTGATACAGCATTTGAGTGAGCCAGAACAATCAGAATCGCCATAACACTCGTCCTTGCAAATCCCCAGCAAAGAGATGCTACTGTCATTAATAGGGCATTTACCCTTCTTCTCTGGGGAAAGAATGAGAGGGAGCAGAGCTCCTGAAACCTGGAGTCTAAGCAAGGCTCCCTGGCAGATAGGTGGCCTTAAACCCCCCAATTTAGTATTAGAAGTGGAAGGGTCTAGTGGGAAAATGAGGGGATTAATATCTGAACTCTCTACCACTTAGAGTCTATTGTGAAAAAAGCATTGTGAAAATGAAAGGCATCACAGAAATGTGAGATTATTTAAAAAGTAATCTTTTTGGCAACACGTCTAATATTGAAATATGTTTTTCACATGTGTAATGGATATCATATTCTTGCTTTCTCAGTGGGTGAGGAAGGAGCTGCAGGGAGAGGGGAGAATTTGGAACTCAACATTTTAAAATGAATGTTAAAAAATAATAACCATGAATACTTTCATCAGAGCTTGCTTTCCTCACAGTCATGATGCCTTCTTGGTATGATTCTAAGTTGTCTAGGAAATTTCAATTCTACCTATACCCTGATGACTGATCCCTTTCCCAGGAGATAGTACTTTTATCCCACAGGTTGAAATGAAACTGAGAGCGTCAATCCCTCAGGAAAGGAGACCCACTGATGGACATTGTCACGGAAAGGTGGAAAGAGAGTTCCTACCCTCAAGGAGGTTACAGTCTAATGGGGGAAGTCAGTACATAAAGGGTTATCAACAGATGACCTGATAGCAAAGCCTTTCCTAGTACAGATTTGGGTAGAGGAAGGCACAGGGAATCAAAGGGTTTGTAAACAGAATTCTCATCTGGGAATCCAGAAACAACTTCTTGTCCAGCTAGGCTATTAAGCAACTGAATGAGCTTGAACAAGTCATTTTCCTTCTCTGGACTTTTGCAAAATGAGAAGACTAGACCAAACAATCTCTAAAATCCCTTCCAGTTCTGCCATTCTACGCTTTACAATCTACTCTTTTCTACCCTCCAACATTCTAGGATCTAGGACCATCATTTATAAGGTGTCTAGGGCATGGCTACTTCACTCCTGGTTTCACTCCTTACTCTCTGGCCTTTCTCCAGGAGTCTTACCCTCCTTTTCCTCCTCATCCTCCACTCCCCAACCATCCTTCAGGTATTGTCTTCCCCCATTAGACTATAAGATCCTTGAGGGTAGGGATTCTCTTTTCTGCTTTCTGTACCCCAGTACTTAAAACAATTCCTGGACCATAGTAATAAATACCTTATCTACCTATCTATTGAGAGTTGTCAAGATGGGATAATGAGCACCTCAGGTATTAGGGAGAGGCATCAAAAGAGGGTGCCAAAGACAACCTCTGGCTCCTTCACAGGGCTGCTATGAGTCAACCCTGTCTTCATTCACTGAATAATTTTCAGCACTCAGTTTGCAAACCCTGTGCTTGGTGGTCTTTTCTTATCTCCTCATAGCAGCAAGCAGGGCATAGATGAAATAACAACTGGCTGATACATTGGATCGTAAGATCATAGATTTAAAGCTGGAGTAGACCTGAGAGGTCATCTGGTCCAAATCCCTCATTTTATACAATGCTTGCTAGCTCCCAAGAATCCCAGTTCCTGGCAAGGGCTTCCCTTTCCCCAGCATAGGGACTCAAGAGGCGGGGTTGCTTTGAACATTAAGGTTGGCAAAGAGCCTTCTAAGACCCTCACTCTGATATCTGTGCTTACCCTCCACCAACAACTCCACCACACACATTTACACACTCATGTTTATCAACACAACACACTTACCAACACTAAGTTCACCCACATTCTCTTACACATTCTAAGTTCACCCATACACAGCCTCAGTAACCCTAACCTATACCCAATACAAGCTACGTAGATACAGTCATTCATCAAAATTTGTACAGAGCCCCACAACCATTCACACACACACACACACACATACACACACACCCTTGAACACACCTAAACACTCCCACCCACTCATCTGTATATCTCTTCCACCATTCATTAATATACCTACAAGTCATTAAAAAACTCCTTGCCTTACCAGCACAAATGAGTAAATTTTCCCCAGCTAGGTGGAAGCATGCCCTTTACATTTCCCAGGACCACCATCAACCAAGAGGAAGAAGGTCCCACTCACCTCAAGACATGAGGAGACCTAATATGGGATGGGAAAAAGGCTCCTCACCCTAATGCAGGAGCCTACTTAATACTAGATGCCTTCCCTAGGTTGACTTTCCTGAATCCCTCTTCATGCCTTAGCTTATCCACTTTTGCCTTAGAGACAACAGTCATTACCTCTGAGAGGAGCTTCAGAACCACCTTTTTTCTTTCATCTCTCCACTATCTCTCAGGTCTAGTTTTCTGTTGGTTTCAATCTCACTCCCAGTTTCTAGTTAACCTATAACTGTCCCTAATTATTTAACTTCTAGAAGGCAGCTTTATGGAATGGAAAGAAAAATGGACTTGAATGGGCTGTAATGTCAACTCTGCCATTACTTGAGATCATAGATTTAGAGCTGGAAGGCATCTGAGGAGGTCCACTAGTCCAGCCTTTTTTCTTAATGGAAGAGAAAAGAAGGCCCAAAGAGGTTAGGGGTCTTGTAGGGTGTGGGGGGAGGTCCTACAGCTGTCTCTCTACTCTCCCTAGAAGCAGGAGGATGAGGTTTCCCCAACCAAAGAGGCTAAGTGACTTGCCCCCTGGTGTCTTTACCCTCCTTCAGGGAGCCCTTCTCTAACTCTTGACTATTTTAGCTCTTTTCTTAGCAAGCCCCAGTTGCAGCCCTTCTGGAAGCCTCAGAGTGGGGACTGAAAGGTTGGGAGAAATGAAGCTTCAGAACAAAGGATGGGAACCAAAAGTCCCTTGGTACTGAGTATTCAATTCAATCCAACAAGCATTTATTGAATGCTTACGAACCAGGTGCTGAGGTAAACTCTGGTGAATACAGATACAGAAAATAAACAATTCTGGCTGGAAACAAGGCAATCTGATAATCCCAGAGCTCTCATTTGAAACTAGGTCCTCTAACTTCAATTTTTTTACTGATTTTGGACTAGTCATCGCCTCTCAGTTTCTTCCTCTGAAAAATTAGGGGTTAGACTACACAATCTGTACAAGGGAAATTATACAATCCCATCCTTTTATCTTTCCCTCCCCACAACTGGGTTCTGATCCAGGGCAGCCAGGTGATTAGGATGATTCTCTCTGCTCCCGAGGGTCAGGTTGGGAACTAAATACTTTGCTGTGGGGATTTGGGGTAGGAGTAGGCAGAACCTGTCGTTCCCAGCCGGGCCCAAATGCTTCCCGAACCTCTCCCCCCCCCCCCCCCCCGCCTCCCCCAAGGTGTGTCGCCTTCGCCACCCACCTCAGGCTTCCTGTAAACAATGTCCCAGATATGTGAGCCAGGAAATTGTCATGCACCAGAGACTAGGGAGGGCTGTGCAAGGCTTGCTGAGCGAAGCCAGACTTGGGGTAGGGGAGGGGAGGTGTTTGGGAACTTTGTGTTCTTCCCCCAAGCTGGATCCTGAGAGGCTGAGGAGACAAATCTCCTGAAGTCCTGCCCCTGCTCCTCTCAGGGTACCCGCCCCCGACTGAAGAACAGCTGGGCATGAGCCCTGGCTAGGGAGGCCAGGGGCTTGTCCACCTCCAGAGCCCTGGGGGCCGGGGAAGGGGGAATGGGAAGGTTACCGTTAGGGATTGCGCAGACCGACGTGCAACCAGCTGTGCAGCACTTGAGGATGTCAGGACAGTCTTCGTCGGTGTGACATTCAACCTGGCAGTCTTTGCTCTCCTGTACCTCTGGGCACACGCCCACCTTTTCTGCTCCGCAGAGCAAAGGAAGGTCAGGGAGGGCCCCACCCACTACAGCCTAAAATCTTCGATCTCTGGCTCGTGGTCCAGGATTCCCTTCATCTCTCTGGTTCCCGGTGACCCAGGAGTCCCATTATATCTCCAGCTCCCAGGTACTTCACCTGCTGTCTCTGGAGTCCCCCATCTCCGGCCCCCAACTCCTTTCTACCAATACCCATGGGGCAAATCTAAGTCCCTGTCCCCCATTCCGTCTCCTTGGGAGGTCCGTGCATCTCTGGGCCAGGGGATGATCCCAAAGGCTCCTGCCCCCACATCAGATCCAGGGGCTCCCCCTCACCTCCCACCGACCGAAGTCGTGCTGGATCCCGTCCCCTACTCACCCCTGCCACTCTCCCAGCCTTGGTACTTACGAGCGTGCGTCTGACGGATGGCAGAGTCCATGCTCAGGAAGAATAAGAGGAAGAGGCCGCCGAATAACGTTGAGAAAGGGGAGAGCTTGCTGGCCATTGTGGTGCTGCAAGGGATCTAGATTTGAACTTCCCAGAGGGGGATTTAAACAGTGAGAGCTTGAGGCCCGGGGCGGAGGCGAGGGCGGGGAGGGAGCTAGCTGAGGGGAGGGGGGCTGGGTGGGGGCAAGAGGATGGTGAGGTCCGGCTGCCACCTCATTCCATTTCACAATCCCCCAAGATCAGGTGTCGTTCTTGGCCCAGGTAGAAACCAGGAAATGTAGTTCTTTGGCCCAGCGGTCTCAAGCCCAGCTGGACTTGGGGCCCAACCCCAAGTCCCTGGTCCCTGTATCCACCCTATTTACTCTGGGACGGCGAACTCCATCCTTTGAGGGTAGAGGAGATGTCAGGGCATAGGTCCTGGGCTTTGGCTGGGATTGAATGGAATTGAGTGCCAAAGCACTCCTGGGCCTCACTTCTCCCATTCCCAGGACCCCTGTGAGCTAGGAAAAAAGGGGAACACTAAGTGAGAAATAACTAGAATAGGGCAGGAGATAGGAAAGAACCCCAACAGGCAGAGTAGAGATTCTGGCTCCCAGTGGTTTAGTATTTGTGGGGAGAGGGGACACTATCACGTGGTCCTTCAGGACAAGGTGGGGGATCAGCCAGAAGAAGTTCAGAAGCTCCTCCCCACCCCCACTTCCCGCTCAGGTGTGCTTGGCCCCTGATTACCTCCAGGACATGCCAGCTCAGGGAGGGGCCGTTCCCACGGCAGCTAAGAGGTGACCAAGCTAGGCTTCTGTTTGTTCTGAGGTCAGGGAACAGTCAACATCTATTGGGGGGAGGGAGCGACAAGCCCAAGGCAGGCTTTCAGCTCCGGGGCAGGGGCACACAGAGGCCAGGCACCGAGCCTCCGGCGGCCGGTTCTCGCTGGTAGGTTCCGTTCTCTGGGCATTGACCTAGTGGTGCAAGAAGCCTCTCTCACAGGAATCCTATTGTTCACCACTCCCTTCTGCGGAATCCCGGAATTTCGGGATTCGTTCCCCCCACTCCAGAACCCGGAAACCAGACCGGGCCAGAGGCAACCAGTATTACATCCCCAGTCTTGTCTTACCCAACCACACCCCTCCAAGATGGGGGCGGGAGAGGGGTACTAAGAAGAGAGAAGGGAATCCATTTAATCAGTGTTTGGAGTGCAAAACCCCAAAGAAATAGTTTACAGGGAAGACCAGGAAACTCTCTGCACGACCCATCCCTCTCTGAATTCCATCCCGCATTTTTTTTTCCAATTTTAACAAATTTATGCTACTTGGTAGCAGTTCCAACGTTTACTCTCCTCGAATAGCTCCATCTTAGAAAGGATCTTTGAGAAAAGAGGTCATTTCTTCCTTCCCTGACAAACCTTTATTGCCTGTTTTGTTCAAGCTACCATACTCCATGCCTTTCTTTCATAATGCCTTCTGTCTAATGAGGGATAAGATGCAAAGAGACAACCATAATGCATGTTACATGATAAATTCCTTAAAGAATTTATGTGAACTATTTTACTAATTTTCTTCTTAGAAGTTCCTTCCAGGCTTTCTAGCACAGCTTGAGGATACCCATCATGCACTTTCCATTACCCTTTGTGCAATACTTTGTTTTGGTTCTTCAGATTGTGTCATGCAAGACCAGTAGAATGTTGGCATTAAAAAGACGAGATTCAATTTCCAGCCCAGGACTAGTGAGGTGATAATCTTTTTTTTTTTTTTAAATGCTGAGGCAATTGGGGTTAAGTGACTTGCCCAGGGTCACATAGCTAGTAAATAAATGTCAAGTGTCTGAGGCTAGATGTCAACGCAGGTCCTCCTGATTCCAAGGCCAGAGTTCTATCCACCACTCCACCCAGCTACCCCTTTGAGGTGATAATCTTGTTATACTCTGTCCAGGTAAGAACAGATCTGAAGTATTGTATTCAGTTCCAAGCACATTTTAGGAAAGACTAATAAACTGGAAAGCATCAAGCAAGCTGGTCACCAAGACAAAAAGCAATATCAAGGCCTACTATGTGCTACACTGTGCTAAGCACTAGGAACATAAGTACAAAGAAAGAAACAATTCCTACTCTCTAAGAGCTTACTTTCTAGTAGAAGAACTGCAAGTACATATAAAATATATACAGCATAAATATAAAATTTGAAAAAATATATACATAGGTACACACAAACTTTACACACATACAAAACAGTGGGGGAGGGAGGATACTGGCAGTTGGTAGAATTAACAAAAATGTTGTGCAGAAGATGGTGCCTGAGGTACATCTTAAAGGAAGAGAGTTACTCTATGAAGCAGAGGTAAGGAGGTAGAGCTTTCCAGGCACGCAGGGTGACCAGAGAGGAGACAGGAGGTGGTGTGTGAGTGAAGGCATATTTGGCTGGATCACAGAGAGGGGGAAGGACAGTAATATCCAATGAAACAGGAAGTGATAGTTTGGGGCCAGGTTATTTGGGCAGCTAGGTGACACAGTAGATAGAGTGCTAGGCCTCAGTTACTAATTGTGTGACTTGGGCAAGTCATCTGACTCTGCCTCAGTTTCCTCATCTGTAAAATGAGCTGGAGAAGGAAATGGCAAGACCATTTTTTGAGTCTTTGCCCAGGATCTTTGCCAAGAAAACTCCAAATGAGGTCATGAAGAGTTGGACATGACTGAACAATAGCAGCGAACATAGGATTTTAAAAGCTAAACAGGGGAGCATATAGTTTATCCTAGACAAATAGATCAATAGGGTGCCCTCAGAGCTGATTGAGTAGGGAAATAACAGGGTCAGAGTGATCAGATCTGATTAAATGGCCTCTGAGAGCCCTTCAGTTCTAAAATCTTATACCTAAAACTTAACTCATTTCCTCTCCCCCATTTAGGATCATAGCTCTATAGCTGGAAAGTTCTACAGAGACCATCTAGTGCAAGCCATCATTTTATAGATGAGAAAATTCTTTCTGTTAATTCAATTTGCTTGTCCAGCACTTATTAAGCACCTACAAGGCTCTGGAGATACAAAGACAAAACAGAATAGGCCCTGCTCTCAAGGAGCTTACCTTCTATTGGGGAGAAATGATTTATAAATAGAAAAATTATACCAAATTTATGCAAAGTAATTTCTGTGGAGAGGGCACTAGCAGTGGGGGGCAGGAGTGGGAGGAGGCAGGGACATGAACCAGTACGAAAGCCTGAGCAAAAGCAAAGAGAGTGGGGAGGGAATGTCTGAGGAAGAAAGGAAACAAGCATTTATTATGCACCTGCTATGTACTAGGCACTGTGCTAAATACTTTACAAATATCTCATTTGATCCTCACAGCAACTCTGTGGAATAGGTGTTATTTATTATCTCCATTTTACAGTTGAGGAAACTGAGGCAGAGGTTGAGTGACTTGAGGGAGAGTTGAGTGCAGAAGAGCTTATCATTAGAGAGTTGGCCATTCCTTTTTTCAGCCACTGCAATTCAAAAAATTCTGAATGGTAGAAGGACCATGAGCTACAGAGACAAAAGCAGGAAAGACAATGAATTTTCTTTAAGGCTCTGCTCCAGGCATGATCTAGAACCAGTGTTCTTCAGACCTCAAGCCACCTTAGAAGAAACAAAAACAAAAACAAGCCAGGAGCTTCAGAGTAATTGAAGCCTGGCAGATACTGTCCTTCCAGTTACAGGCATTCTTTTTTTTTAATTTTTTTTTTTTGGCAATTGGGGTTAAGTGACTTGCCAGGGTCACACAGCTAGTAAGTGTCATGTTTTTGGTCTGAGGCCAGATTTGAACTTAGGTCCTCCTGACTCTAGGGCCGGCGCTCTATCCAATGTACCACCTAGCTGCCCCATTATAGGCATTCTTAACTGAGGGTGTGGAAACATTAAAAAAAAAACACACATTTTTACAATGATTTTCAACATAATTCCTTCCCTTTTGGAATTCTATGAATCTTATTTTACGCATTTAAAAACAACTTTCTGAGATAGGGTACATAGCCTTCCCCATATTACCAAAGGGGTCTGTTCTAGGAGAAGACCCAGAAGGGAGAAAATAGAGCTGCTTGCTCTTTCTAGACCATTTCATGTGATTGGTACCTAGATTTTCTCTGTTTTTACTAAGGATTTTCTTGGGATCAGAGGCCCCCTTCTCTCTGGATTCCAAAAGGATCTCCACTGCTTCTGTTTCCTTTGAAATTATCTAGCAAATGGACAGTCTTCTGATCTAGGTGGTATATTCAAATACTTCTTTATCCAGTGGGCTCTGCCTGAGGTTGTTAGCTCTCAGTTGTCCTTATGAGCCCAGATGAAAATGATACGGCCAATCCAAAAAATCATGTTAAATTTTGGAAGGCACCAAAATCCTTCTGAGGAAAATTATCTCCTTAAACTATGAAACATAGCTTACATTCCCAAAATATTTTGTTTTGTTTTTAAATTAGCCCTCTGATTATATTGGTATAAGGAGCTCCCTCTAGATGGGTTGTTGTCCCTTGTTCTCTAAGAGGACCAAAATGACATCACTATGTTGGGGTCAAGGTACAGTGTGTCCAACTGTGACTAATCAGACTAATGAGCTCCCCCACAGGTCTAGATGACTGCTCTGCTTGAAGTACTAAGAGGTTATCACTTGTCCAGGGTCATACAACTAGTATATTCCAGAGGGGAGACTTAAATCCAACACTGAGACCAGCTCTCTTTACTATTCTATCATACACTGTCTCATTCCAAAATACATGCAAAGGGGATGTGATGGTATAGTCATGGAATAGAATACTGTAAGAAGTTATAAAAGGAGCAGTTCCAGAGAAAGCTGGGAAGACCTATGAAGTGATGCAGAATAAAGTGATAAGAATCAGAAGAACGGTTTATATGATAATAACAATATTAGAAAGACCAATAGCTTTGAAAGACATAAGAATTCTGATCAACACAATGACCAACCAAGATTCCAGAGGCCCAGGGTGCTGAAGCATGCTGTTACTGTTCATCTTTCATCTTCAAAGGAGACCAATGACATTACAGGATTATGTCTTGACTTGTTCGTGAATTGGATTTAAATGAGGCAAAGTTGCATAAAGTCCTCAACTTCACTGTCTCTTCCAGAGTCATTGAAATCCAGTGGCAATACAAAAGTCAAGATG